TTCCTGCTAGCCCCCCCGCCCCACCCATGGCTGCCTCTGCTTGCCCCCAGCTCACCCGGTGCTTGCCCCCAGCTCACCAGGTGCTGCCAGGCAGTGGGGCTCCAGCTCCAGCCCTTTAAGAAAAAAAAAACAAGAAAAAGTCTGGGACTCACTGCTCCTGCAGCAACCTGGGGGCTCTGGCAGGCTTGTTTAGAGCCCCCCACAAGGTATGGGGCAGTGGGGAGCAGCAGGGATTGCCTCCCGCCGGGCAGCAATGGTGATTCTGGGGGTTTGGGGTTGTTTTTTTTCCTTAAAGGGTCAGAGCTGGGCAGCCCTTTAAGAAAAAAAAAACAAGAAAAAGTCTGGGACTCACTGCTCCTGCAGCAACCTGGGGGCTCTGGCAGGCTTGTTTAGAGCCCCCCACAAGGTATGGGGCAGTGGGGAGCAGCAGGGATTGCCTCCCGCCGGGCAGCAATGGTGATTCTGGGGGTTTGGGGTTGTTTTTTTTCCTTAAAGGGTCAGAGCTGGGGTAGGCGGGGTAGCCATGGGTCGAATCACCGAATCAAATCACTGTCCCCCAAATCGGCAGAATCTGAAGCGAATACTAGCTGCTTCTCACCGGCCTACCATCCAGCCCCTGCCCTGCTCAATGCTGCCATCTGAAGCCTAGGGCTGACCCTCTATGCCCCCTGCCAGCCTGGGCTGAGCAGGGCAGGAGAGACCCTGGTGTAAACTGCTTCACCCTGGCTCAAATTGCTGCTTTTCTGGGCGCCCATGTAGATGCTGCTTCCGGGATTAGTTTACTCTGGCTCAAACTGCTCCAGAGTTTATTGCTTCAAATTAATTGCATGCATAGATGCACCCAATAAGACTAACATTAGTGCTCTTAGGCCTGAATTCTAAATTTTTGCTATAAACCTCTCTTTTTTAAAAATGTATTTTGGAAGAGACTGTAAAAATGTATTCCTTTTCACAGGTTTTATAAGAGATCTCTCAAAAGTAATTAATCTTACATATAATATAATTATATAGCACACAAAAAAACTAGTTCCAAAGGATGAAGGACTAACTTTCTATAACTCTGAGTTAATAAACAACAGTAGACTCCCCAAATGACATCCCCAAACTTGAAATTCCATCCCACCCAACCGCATTCCCACATTGCAGTTACACTATGGGCTCTTGTACACGTGATGGTGGTTTAGTCCTCAGGGTTTTATTCTATGCTCCCTAAATCAAAATGGTGGGTTTTTAATTGAACCCCACCATTTCAATTTTTCCATCATGTTACAGTGAGGGGCCCGATCCTTTTTTTTTTTTTTTTTTTTTGGGTCAGAG